GTCACTCTTGTAGGAAACTCTTGTGGGACACTCTTGTAGGACACTCTTGTGGGACACTCATATAGGCCACTGTGGTGGAAAACTCTTGTGGGACAATCTTGTAGGACACTCTTGTGGGTCACTCTTGTAGGAAACTCTTGCGGGGCACTGTTTCGGGACACTCTTGTGGGACACTGTTGCGGGACACTCTTCTGGGACACTCTTGTGGGACACTCTTGTAGGAAACTCTTGGGGGGGACTGTTTTGGGACACTCTTGTAGGACACTCTTGCAGGACACTCTTGTAGGACACTCTTGTGGGCCACTCTTACGGGGCACTCTTGTGGGACACTCTTGTGGGACACTCTTGTGGGGCACTCTTGTGTGTCACTCTTATGGGACACCTCTTGCGAGACACTCTTGTAGGACACTCTTGTGGGTCACTCTTACATGACACTCTTGTAGGACACTCTTTGTGGGACACTCTCAAAAGCACTCTTGTGGGTCACTCTTATGGGACACTCTTGTCGGACATTCTTGTGGGACAGTCTTGTGACACACTCTTGTAGGACACTCTTGTGGGTCACTCTTACAGGACACTCTTGTGGGACACTCTTGTAGGACACTCTTGTAGGACACTCTTGTGGGACACTCTTGTGTGACACTCTTGTAGGAAACTCTTGTGGGACACTCTTGTAGGACACTCTTAAGGGACACTCTTGTGAGACACTCTTGTGGGACACGGTTGCGGGACACTCTTGTGGAACACTCTTGTGGGACACTCGTGTCGCGACACGGTCTGCCCACACACTAGAAGCAGTCACGCGAGCGTTTCGTACGAGACTTCCTCCAAAAGTCACGCTTCGAGGCTGCAAGACGAGCGTTTCGTACGAGACTTCCTCCTAAAGTCACGCGTCAAGTCTCCAAAACGGAGCGTTTCGTACGAGACCTCCTCCAAAAGTCACACGTCAAGTCTCCAAAACGAGCGTTTCGTACGAGACTTCCTCCAAAAGTCACGTGTCAACTCTCCAAAACGAGCGTTTCGTACGAGACTTCCTCAAAAACTTTAGTGTCAAAGTCTCCAAAACGAGCGTTTCGTACGAGACTTCCTCCAAAAGTCAAGCGGAAACACCCATCGGAGCACACACATCACGCAGCCCTGCCAAGCAGTTTCGCGATTCCAGCCCCTCCAAACAACACCCGCTCACACGCCAATCCCAATGAGACAACGGCAGTCACCTCTGCCACAACTCACAACCTCACGATTCCCTGCGCCTGCCACGCATCTTTCCGCATCCACACGTCTAACGCGCACAAAGTACTGCGCCTGCCACGCAATGTCACCTCCGTCACACCTCGCAACCT